AATTATTTCGATTGGATTCCATGGTTTCGAGTTCGGAGCTCCACTCGTGGTGTGCAGAACTGGTCTATGGCTTCCATTGCCCACTGTTTCCGTTTTGTTTCTCAAGTTTTCTGTTTGTTTGCCCCAAAAGAATAAAGGAATTTTGTTGCCAATTGAATGATTATGCCAAGTCGGGCTTGAATGAGCCGCGAATGAGTCAACAATTGTTGGTTGTCAAGCTTATTCTAAAGACTAGGGGATACCCCTTTTTCGTACATCTTTACAATTGAGTTTTTCGTGGTTTTAATACCAAGAACTTGTACTTTGCATTGTTTGGTCTTTTGGACAATACAATTTGATTTTATAAGAACATGAGAATATTTTCATGAGAAGAATAAAGTAGTTTTGAGGATTACAATGTATTCAAACGTCTACTATTGAGAGAAATTATTGATATAACAATATGAATAATAAAAACATAAACTATTATACTTTCTATTCTACATTCTGAGGATTAATTAAAAAAAAAAAAAATATAAATATTATTTGGTAAGCAAATTATAATATAATCTCACACATATAAATAAAAACAATAATTATGAAGTTTGTATACCCTTTCAATGTATTAGAAGCTTGAAAAACAGCGAAGGAGTCATTTCCGACCCTACATATCATATATATTCTTGATCTGCATGAACAGACAAATCATTCTAGGCATGTAAGGAAGAAAATAAATTTTTTCAAATTTTTTCAAAATTCTTATAATTTAACATCGTTAAAATTGTCCAAAATTGACAAAAAAATTTAATTTTAAATGGAGTCTGCAGATTTATTAACCTAATAAAAACTAACATAGGAAAGTTTTCCGAATTGAAATTAATGCTTTTTTGACTTAGTTATGAGTTTTTAAACTTTGATTTGTCGAAAAAATTGGCATTTAAAATTTGCTTAGTTATGATCGATTTCCGATTCTATCTCATAATTTAATTGCTAACCCTGATTTTTGACTAGATCTACTTATTTTTATAAATTTCTAAACTATTCTTCCTTAAGACACACATGGCGTATACTTAATTCAAGTGTTTTCACGTTAAGTATACGCCATGTATGCTGGAGTTTTCTCAAATCGAAGACCATTTTTAAACTTTTACAGGGTATTATAATTTTAGTTAGAAGCTTGTAAATATGTGAAGGAGTCATTTCCGACCCTATAAATCATATATATTCTTGATCAGTATCAAAAACTGAAACTATCTAGCCATCTTCGAAAGAAATTTTTTTTTACATTTTGTAACATTTTATACACAAGTTTTACATTATTAAAATTTTCAAAAATTGATCTTATTTGAAATTTTTTAAAATAATAAACTGAGTATGCAGATTTATTATCCAAATAAAAATTAGCATGGGAAATCTTACCGAATTAAAATAAATTATTTTTTAACTTAGTTATGCGTTTTTTAAATTTTGATTTGTCAAAAAATTTTTATATAAAAATATCTTTGAATATCTACTCAAAGAATGCTAATTCTTTAAGCTTGGTTATAACAAACTTCCAATTTAATCTTGTATTTCAGTTGCAAGCTGCATTGGTATATAAACTAGGACTTCCCAAATATAGTTCTCTTTCTTGTTTGTTATACAAATTCAATAAAAACTTTTATTTATATCTCCTCCCTCTTGTAAATTAGTATTTGTCTTGGTGCATTCATAAATACCACAAATTATTTGAACCCCTAATTATTTCTTGTTGTTTTGGCCTCTTTGTTTGCTCTTCTCCATATATCCATGTATCTATATTCCATCTTCCATCTTCAGTTGCCGCCAGTTGGACTTGAACTTTGTGCGTGTGCTTTGGTTTTCCTTCGCATCGTTTTGTTATCGATTCGTGGTTGTGGCTTGTGTTTGTCAAGGCTCCGGAGGAGGAGCTTAGCCCAGTAACTAGCTGTGAAGAGCGGGCTGGCGGCACCCCCATATGGTGGCAAAAAATTAAATAATTAAACCATGTGTGTTGACCCCAAAGGCGTTCCGATTCGGGTTAGCAAATTGGCAACGCTTGATCGACGAGGAGGCCCAACTCACACACACTTTTTAATTACCCGCCGAGAGGTGCGGCTGCCATTTGAACTTGACTTTAATTGGGTCTCAATAAAAGGCAATAATAACGATAACAGCGCACCTGTGGGTTCTCCCTTATTTTTGGGGTTTCGTGTCGTGTGTCTTTCACTTTGGTCTTTCACTTTTCATTAACGCGACCAATTGATTGGTGGCCGTGTTGTGTGCGGAATGTTATGCAATCGCCCCGCCCCACCTCGACATTCCGCGATTTCCGATGCCAGACCTGTCCGGACCAATTGAGTACGGATTACCAAAGTGTAGCAAGTGCAAAGTGAAGTCAAGACCTTGCGGCCTGCATATTAACATGGCCAATAACGGGGGGAAAACTGCCAGTTAAGCTATGCATAGCGACAGCCATACGCCCCCACTTGGCAATTTCATCAGCTTTTATGACGGCATTGTGGGACTTCTCCTCGGACGCACTTGGAAATGCTCATAATTTGATAATGGCATCAATTAAACTTGATTGTTGGCTACTCTCCTACTCCTACTACAACTCTATTGTTGCTTCTGTTGGTAATTAGCACCCAAGCGATATGTTTATATGACAGCAGTCAAAACTACCGCCGTACAAGTTGTGTCATTAGTTTGCCACGAAATAAAGTCATGTTTGTTTGAACAAATTAAACGGACGAACTCATATTCCGCTGCTCTTATCGATAAACAAGCGTAAGAAAGAAGCGCGAAGTGGAATCTAAACAAAAGACTTAGGCAACGAACTTCGAATGCGAATTTCTAGACAGCATTCCCAGCATTGTTGCTTCGACTATGTATCATCATCAGTAGCTTGGGGATCTTTATTTTGATTATATACACTTGCAGGTTATATATCTCAGGTGGTACAGGGATTTTAAGATTTTAAAGCTCACTCAACGAAACCGTAAAAAAACGAATGATTTAATCCATTAGAATAACTTTATGAGATGATAAATTAGAGTAAAATCATGCTAGCTTAATTTATTTAAATAAGATTAAAGTGTTAAAACAGCTTGGGAAGTAAAACGAGCAAAAAAATAAACTAAATTTAAACTTTTATGAAATCTATTATATTATTTAAATACTATTTGCAATTTCAGGGTATTTAAAATATGAATTATTTCCCTCAGTTTCCTTCTCTTCCCACCCAGAAGTTTTCATTACAATCTCATAAAACTAAACTCGTGTTTGTCGTTCATGGTGATTTTACAATTTAATTTCTGCCCGCAAAAACGGGTTAACCCGGCAGACAAGTTCTTGGGCTGCACTCATGCACTTGTTGCACATTTATCTGTCTTAAATGCAGATTTTTTAATTGCCTGTCTCATAAATTCCAGAGTTCTGCGGGCGTAGCCATGTGCTGCCTCAGGTAGTTTGACATTTCGACTGACCTTCAGAATGCCATCAGAACAGGCAGAGGCATCGCAGATAAAATAAAAATATAAACAAAATACCCATACCGTTAGGCCGTAACAACTCATCGCGTCGGCTCTCAGACTTTCAAGTATCGAAATGATAAATAAAAACCAAATTAATTGGCTAACCAAAATACACACAACAAATAAAATGCCAAAAAAGAAATATGCTGATGATGTAATTAAGGCGTAGAAAGCGGTAGAGAAAGAGGCCAAAAGATTGATGGCCGGCGCATGTAAATGATTCTGATCGAAGAAGCTACGAGAAAGAAAAACAAAAGACTTAGGCAACGAACTGCGTCTGAGAGATGGTTGAAAATAGCTTCCCTTGACCAATGCACTTGCCCCGAGGGGAAAGCTCTCTTAAGAGAGTCTGCTTAAAGAGAGAGAGAGAGAGAGATCATGGCCTGAACTCTTTGGCTAGCAAAAGCTTTTGCCCAAGCTTTGGACACGCTAAATGCTATTAAGCCAACTTAGCCATGAGGCGACAAGGCGACGAAACAGCACACAAGAAAAACAAAAAAAAAGCGCCCAAGAAATACCGAACGTAACCGAACTTACGGTACGAAGTAAGGTAAGCTAAGGTAAGGTAAGGCCGCCAGGTAAGCTCTGCCTGCGTCGCTGCCTTAACCAGCTGCTCAGTCGCTGTCGCTGCCAAAGCCCAGCTCTGCTCTTGAGTCTTCAGTCGAGTCGCGAAAGTCGTCGAGTGCGTTTGCTTCGCTGGAACGTCGGCAGTCCGGCAGAAAAAAATACAAGAAAGATTCAGCCTCTAAATAAATATACAATAACAACAACTAAAAGAAAAAGAAAAAACACAAAACTAAAATATCATTTTGTTAGAGAAAAGAGTAAGCGTTGATCATCACGAAATTTTTGTGTGCGCAGTCGTCATCGTCATCGTTGTCGTTATGCAATTCGAAGTGCGTTCATAAAATGATGCCCGAGATAGCAACAATTTCGATTTAATTAATTTCTGTTTTTTGGGGGAATTAGAAATTTTGTGTGCGTGTGCGTGTGTGTGTGTGCGGAGTTTAATAGACGCATAAATATACTGTTTCGGCAAATTGCTTTCGCCGTTCGCGTTCGCTTCTCGATGTCAAAATTAAAATGCCAAATTAAATATTAAAATTATTGCAAACTCGTTTCCCACTCGTCGACGAAAAAAGTGAAATTAATAAAGTGAAAAGAGCAGCAACGAGAAAGGAATTTGTAATTGTAACACAAAGGCAATTACAAAATCAATATAAATAATAATAGAAAATCATTGTTACAGCACATAAATAAAGTAAAGAAAAGTAAAGTAAAGTAAACTAAAGAGAGAGGGAGAGAGATATAACAACAGTTAGGGGCAAACACTTTTCCTCGAACGCAGCTCTCTGTCGTCGGGCCTGCGAATACGTAATCATTGGGAAAATATCAGCAATTTTGCAACAGTTTCGACACAACAACAACAGCAACAGCAGCAGCAGCAACAACAGCGGCAACAGCAACACCAACAACTGCAGCAGCAGCAGCAAAAACAAAAGTAATTGAGCAGAAAGGTGAGTTGGGAGGCCAAGAGACACGCATGCAAAGCAGAAAAAAAGAAACTAAAGGAAAAAAAAATGCATTAAAAATATAGAGAGAAACCCTAGGAGAAAACCCTAAACACCTGCCGCCTTCCTGGAAACACCGATCCCCCAAGTGTCCATTCATAATCACACACTTTTTTCTCTAACTGTTTTGCCCGCCCGCCCGACTTCCTGCTTACGCGTCTTTTTCTGTAGTTTCTATGGCTCTTTGACTATGTTTTGTTTGTTTGTTGTTTTGCTGTTAGTTTGGCGTGTGTTGCCTTTGCTACACTTCAGTTTCATTTTCATTTTCATTTAAATGCGAACACAAAACGCTGCTGAAGCTGGAACTGGAGCCGGAGCTCCAACTACAAGCCACTCTCAAGGTTGACAACATCTCTCTTTGTTGGCTTGTTGGGCTGTTTTTTGTTTCAGTTTCTTCTGATTTTGGATTTTTTTTTGAGATTGCGTATTCGCATTTAAATATTATCAACGAATTTGGGCAGTTTCGTAAATAGTTCCTCGAACGATTAGTGCACAATGTCAAGTTAATTTTGAGTTCAACAAACACCGAGTTTGAGGTATCTTTTAACCAAAGATTTTTCTCTGAGCAAAAAACACACTGAGGAAAACATGTCTTCTTGAACCTAAAAGCAGCTTATTCTGGTTGATCTTGACTATTGAGTTATTTAAATTTGAATTTGAAACAAAGATTCATCTGAATGTCAAGCCAATTTGAGCTATTCATCTCTTTTTTGAGTTTACCTGTCTTTCAGTCTTTAAATTTATGATTCTTTTTGGCTTGTTGTATGTGCACTGAAGGAAATAATTATAAAATTATAATAAATTTCTTTTATTTATAACTTAAACTCGGTTGGATAGATGTTTAATTAATTAATTGAAATTATATAAAACCTTAAAAAGATCTCTGATATGATTTCACATTTAAACTATATATTTCTAAGACATAAATAGGTTTAATAAATAATAAGATTGTATTTACAAAACTTAAAAATATTAGTTTCAAATACAAAAATTAATATACAATGTGAACTAGACTTTGATGGGTTATTAAAATCTTGTTAAACACTATTTCATCTTCCTAATAATCAACAAATCTAGTTTGAAGTCAAAGTTTTTCAGTATTTGATTTAAATTTGTTGAATATGCCTTAAGTTTCCTTAAATTAACCTAATTAAAAGTCAATTTTTCTCAGTCTCCACATGACCCTGGTGTCTGAGCAGATGGATGATGAGTTTGTGTCTGCCAACACGCCTTCGAAAACAAATGCAGTTAATAATTAAGAGAGGCGGCCCAAAAAAAATAAAATAAAATACAGCGCCAAGTTAAAAATGTGCAGTAGGTGTTGCCATTCCGATTCCGATTGCGACAATTGCCCCGACATATATATACATATATATATATATATATATATTTACACTCGCAAAGGTGTATAAAGAAGCTGATGAAGAGCCCGAGCGGCAGAGGAAGGAAGTCGATGTCGGAATGAGTTTGCAGTTTCATTGGGCTTCAGCCTTAGCTTCAGTTACAGCTTGAGATTCAGATACAGACTCGGCTTCTCAGCTTCTCAGCTTCTCATCACATCATCTCTGCAGCTTCAGCTCAGCATCTTTTTTTTTGTGGGAGTCAATTAGTGGGCAAAATTTAAATACAAGTGACGAAGATCGGGGCAACGGGGGAGCTACGCTGCCATGGCACCCAATTATGCATCCATAAATGTAAACAATCGTTGAAAAGACCTCTAAAGTGCGGTGGCAACAAAACACACAACACAAAAAGTAAATTCGAGAAGAGAAGAAGTGCTGAAATCCGTGCTGGGCAAAAGTTCAGCCAGGTTCTGCATGCAGACAATACTTGTAACATGGCCAAGAGAGCTAATGGGAAATGTCAGTCAGTTGGCAGACAACGTTGACTTCATTTACATTTTCCCAACAAAATGGGTTCGAATTCGAGTCCGAGAGTCTCATGCTGGAGCTAAAGACCCGAAAAAAAGGTCGCGCAATAAATTCGTTAAGTAACTCTACCCAACTTTTAGTCCCAAACTATTTTCGGTCTTGGCCAAATTCCAAATAGTCAAGAATTTGCATTTGACCGATTAACCGTTCTTTCACTCTCTTTGTGCTTCTGGCCATTTCTTTTCCTTTCACGCTGTGCGCATATTTTATGAGCCATCAATGTGTTCAGAATTCATTTTATTTAATTCCAAGCCATTCCCCACTCCAAATGGGAACCGTTCATTAGCGGGGAAAATGGGTTAATCTTATGCAGGCTTTTTCGAGTATACAATGCAGGTTAAGAAAATAGTAATAAGAACTTAAATATGTTTCTATATAGAGAGATAGAGGTATTTATCACACCTTGATTGTACAACTCCACACCTTCAAAGATCCTCAATTAAACAATACTTTGAAGAGTGCGTGCATTCAGTGGCTTAAAAGTTAATTAAACCGCTGATGTGGTGGCTGGCGCCATCTAAGTGTGAAAGAGACATTAGGTTTGATGCCCAGGCACGTGTGTCGGCTGCTGTTTGTCGATTAGTCAGATACAAAGATACAAAGATACAAAGATACATAGATACTTAGATACAAGATACTCAGATATGAGATACCAGCAGCTAGATAGATAGATAGCTTTATAGCTATATAGATACCGCCCCGCCACCAGACAAAGGCATCTTTATTAAAACATTATTATTTCGCCTTTCGGCCCATTGTTGGCTTGGCGGCGTATAAATTGCATTTTAAATACAACATTTCTGTAGCGTTTTTTTCCGTGGGCCGATAGCTGACTCAATCAGGCGAACAAAGCGCTTCAACACAAATATTATGATCTTTCTGAATTGTTACACACAAACTTCCGCTGCCCCGGCTTCATTATTATGGCCATTATCATTATCAAATATCATTACGATGCTCTCTGGCCAGCCAACGAACTAAACAAATACTGGGAAAGTGAAAACCTGGATGATTTTTTGATTGCAAGCATTTGATAAGCACTAAATGAAGGCAAGAGAAAAGAGATAGAGAGAGTAGGAGAGAAAGACGCAGAGTGAGAGAGAAATTTTGTCATTTATTGAGGCAACTAATGATGGCCAACGTAACACTAGTGCACAGGAAGAAATTGCTTAAATTTAATATAGATAAAAGTTTTGAAAGGGTGATATATTATTTGGTAGAGTGTTGGAATGCCAGAACGTATCTTAAAATCAAAAGCAATAAAAGAATATATATTTCAAAGTTGTACTAGATGTTAGATCGATCTTTATTCCGTTTGTTATATACCAAATATAATTTATTCTAATATTTTAAGATACCAATAAGATACTTTAAGATACTTAATAATCCCTCAGTTCATTAGCATTAAATATAATATCAGAAAATCTTGTATAAAGAGTGGAAACCATAAATTCCTATCATTAAATTGTAGAAACCAAATGAGTCAGGAAATGCTTAAAGTAACCTCAATTCGTTCTGTGTTCTGGTGAATTTCCGGCTTAGAAATCAGAGGTCTCTCAAGTACAAACTAGTTGATACTTTTTCTTGGTGTAACTCTCTTTCCTTTCTTTCTTTTAGTTTTTTGTTTTTTGTAACTAAAAGAAATCAGTTTCAGTTTCGTTTACAGTTTTTTCGGTTTCGGTTTCAAACTCACTCGGTTGTGGAAAATTTAGTGCAACGGCGGGCTGTCATAGCTTCAGCTTCAGCCTCAAATTGCTTCGTTTACACAGCTCTCTTTCGGCTTGTAATCTACCTGTCTCTTTCTGATTGTAGCAGGTCCTCTCTTTCACTCCCTGGAAGCGTTTTGGAGCAGTTGAAGCGTGCAGGCGAAAACGAAAGCAGAAGCAGCCCCACAGTTGCAGTCTTCTTTTTTCGTGTGTTGTTGAATTTCGTGTTTTGTTTTTTTTGAGCTTTTCTATTTTTTTCTGTTTCTGCTTTTCACTCTAGTTGAAGTTGTAGCCTGTATTTTTTTCGCTTTTTTGGCCAGCAAATTGTTGCACGGACCTCGCTTTTGGTCAGGGCAAGTTGGAACGTAACGCGAAAATGCGGAAAAAATTCGCTACGTTTTAATGAAAGTGTCAACTCGTTTTTCATGGGATTTATGTTGTTTTCCAACGTTGATTAAAAGCAAAACTAATTTGTGGGATTTGAAATAAGTTTGATGAAAATTGAGGAAAATACTACTTTTTTACGCAGTGCCTTTTCATTTCGCCTGCAGCTTCATATTTATGATCATAAATGGAGATTTATGACATTTTTTGTACGCATTTTCGCCATTGCACTTTGAAAATAATTCCAAAGTGCAGAAAGTATGGGAATTTTTAATCAAGTTTTCCATTTTTGTATAAGGTTTTTGAAGTTGTTTCTGGCTTCTTAAAGTTTCGTTCAATAATTTTACTGCCAAAAACTTAAAAAAATGTTACTAGTGACTAATTGTTTACTGTTGTTTTATATTTAGGATATTTTTCTTTAAAATTTGATAGCTTTTACTTTGCAATAAATATATTTTGAATAGGGGAAATGTTACTTTTTAAACCAGGAAATACTTTTAATATTTTATCCATAAATTGTAAAGATTTCATGGTGCTTGTAAAATGGTATTAATCCTCAAATATAACATGTTTTTATTACATTTTTATTATTAGGAAATATGATCATGGCTTGTGCATTACATTTTAGGTAATAATAAATATTGCTGGCTTTAAAATTATTGGGAAATACCATTTTATTGGTTTAATAATACTTTTGCAAAGCTACAGCCTTATGTCTATTATGTGTAAGATTTTTTTCAGGAGATTTAGTGCTCTAACATTTTCCCCATTAAGGTTTTTCCTTTGTTACCTCAAGTCACTTGATTTAATGCCAACAAAAGGCTTTAAAAAGGTGTAAAGCAATTTGTAAATTTACATTTTGAAAGTGCATTAGCAACGAAAATCAATCAAAACCGGCCAAAGAGACATTCGAAGATCTACCAAA